TGCAAAAGCATCCTTTTCCATTCAACTGCTAATATCTCTGGAACTACTGGTCGCACAGCAAGCGGGCGCCGAGTTTCTTTATCTGCATAAAATTTCCAATTAAGCACAGTCAAGAGTTAGTGAAGAAAAAATTTTTTTCCACCTCTAACATTGAATTGAAAAAAGTGGAAAAAAGTGACTTTTTCTCCTTTTTTGGTTACTTGGCTGTATCTTCGCTAATATGGGCGGGAAAGCTAAGGTTTGAGGAAAATTTTACAGTCTATTTTTCCTTAAAGAACCCCCTAAATCCCTGGAGCGATCGGTTCAACGGTTTTTCCCGGACCAATTGATTGAAATTTTGGAAAAAATAAGGGAACAAGGTTTTTGTCCCCTAAACTCACCCTAATCCATTCAAAAATCAATAATTTCATTTGTTTTTCACTTTTTACTCAATTTTTTGTTTTTTAAAAATTCATTATCTAAAAAAATCGAAAAAAATCAAGAAAATTTTTAAGAAAAATTTTTTTTTGAAAAGTCGAAAATAGTTTACAAAAATTTTTTTTTTTTGTTTTTAAGGAAATCAAAGTTTTTGACAAAAACTTTGATTGATGATCGATTTACCGCCGGCATTTACGCTTCTTTTGTGCTTACGCACGTAAATCCGACCGTGCAACCTCCACGTGGTATGCTTTGGGTAACGCTAATGCCGACGGTAAATCGATCATCAATCAAAGTTTTTGTCAAAAACTTTGATTTCCTTAAAAACAAAAAAAACAATTTTTGTAAACTTTTTTCGACTTTTCAAAAAAAAATTTTTCTTAAAAATTTTCTTGATTTTTTTCGATTTTTTTAGATAATGAATTTTTAAAAAACAAAAAATTGAGTAAAAAGTGAAAAACAAATGAAATTATTGATTTTTGAATGGATTAGGGTGAGTTTAGGGGACAAAAACCTTGTTCCCTTATTTTTTCCAAAATTTCAATCAATTGGTCCGGGAAAAACCGTTGAACCGATCGCTCCAGGGATTTAGGGGGTTCTTTAAGGAACAATAGACTGTAAAATTTTCCTCAAACCTTAGCTTTCCCGCCCATATTAGCGAAGATACAGCCAAGTAACCAAAAAAGGAGAAAAAGTCACTTTTTTCCACTTTTTTCAATTCAATGTTAGAGGTGGAAAAATTTTTTTTCTTCACTAACTCTTGACTGTGCTTAATTGGAAATTTTATGCAGATAAAGAAACTCGGCGCCCGCTTGCTGTGCGACCAGTAGTTCCAGAGATATTAGCAGTTGAATGGAAAAGGATGCTTTTGCATTCAAAGTTCGATATCTCGGAGACAAATGGTCGTAATTGAGCCATCCAAAGCGATTTTTGAAGCTGAATAAACACGCTAAGAGACCTATATAATGGAGTAGCTCGAAAAAATTTTTCCATGCCCATAGAGTGAAAAACGAAACCTAGAAAATTTAGAAAAAAAATATTTTCAGCTTTGTTTAAGAATTGCATGGAAACCGGAGCTCAAAAAACTTTTTCACCAAAAAATCTGAAAACTAGAGTTTTCAAGCTTCAAAACCCTTTTTTTAAATTTCCTGTACGATTATTTTTCACTGAAATACGGCCTGTTGAAAATCACCCAAAAATTTCAAAAATTTTTATGTTCCCTTAATTTTTGCGAGGAGTGTATATAAATATTTTATTTTTTAGGTTTTCAAATCAGCTTATCTATAAGCGGTTGGAGATGTAAATTTTGAGCTCGACAGCTTTTATGAAATGTAATATTTTGACTCATGTAAAAGACTTGGATTAAATAATATTTTTTTGTTAAATTGTTTGTATTATGTAAATCAATGCATCGCCATTTACTCAATCTGTTTACCGTAACGGTTAGATAATGCCACCAGGCATTAAGTTTATCCTGTATCTAGACATATTTTAATGTGCGCAAAAGTATAAATAGATAAATAAATAAATTATTGCAGTGGTAAAGTTATTAATTAACAGAGTCTGTTGACTGAATTTAGTCTTCATTTGTAAAGTTCTTTAGTAATATTAAACATTCGAACATTATAAAAAATTAAAATTAATATTTTAGGATATATACTGAGATTCCTTTTAGGAGAATCGACATGTTTTGTTTTACTATATTGTCAAAAGTATTGAAATAATATTGAATAATTAAGAATGCTTTTACTTTAATTAAGTTTACGCTCTACGTCGAACATTTTTATTCCGCGCTGAGACATCATCACAGCTAACAAAGTTAATAAACTTGTCAAATAAACAAATTGTCGAGGTAACGATATTAATTAGGCAATGAGAAAGCTCGCGACGTCCGCCGTAAACGGGCACGATAACTAGGAGCCAGTTTTTCCATAATGGAAACCGCAAATGTCTTCATTTCGGCGCGCAAACAGGCATCGGGCGTCGGCACCGAGCCCCGGGGAAATCAGCCGGGGGCCGGAAACCGTACCCACGATAATTACTGACCGCATGAAAAGGACATTTTTCTTGTACCTAACGCTTTTAATTAATACAAGTTGCTTATTCAGCTAGTAAATAATTCACATTATTAATGTGCGTACTGTGTGAAACGATTTCAGCATTGGCTCCTGACGGGTTGAATGTATGCCTTATTTATTTATTTATTTAAATAAATTTATTGACCAAAAGAAAATATAGGTACAAAAGGCGGACTTAATGCTAGTAGCATTCTCTACCAGCCAACCTTTGGGATGAACAGTGAATCGCGAACGTGGTACTTCATTTTTGGGATACGTGAAGAGAATAACGGATAATAACGTATGTCTTTATTCTTAGTTTTAGGAAAATTGGGGATCGTCTTGCGTTTGCCTGCACGAAGTTGCTACTCAGCCACTTGTTCATCGGATACGATTGTTCGGGGTACATGGTTTGCCCTGTAAAATAATATTGTTTTCATGTTAAGAATGTTCACTCTGTGCATAAAACTATATGTAATACGGGAGTACATTTGTTTCTCTTGTTTCAATTAGGTAGGTGCGTAGTTTATTGCGCGTTATATTCCGGTTTGAAGGATGAGACATGGCAGTTAAATTATTAGGATTCTGGCTCAAAACTTACATGACGTCATGAGAGTTGGCAATGTGCGGGTGATGACTACATTGTTGCTAGAACTAATATAGACTGCTGTAGTCATTTTTCTTTGTAAAATAATTTCAAGTAAAAGGGAATATCATTTCAGCAGTTTGCAGAGTTAGCTAAGACTAGTTACTACATAATTGACAAGATAAACCTATTATCGGGATTCTATAATAGGTTTATCTACCTCCTATCGCTTACATGTTAACTTGAAACCATAAAGTTATCATAATTTCTCTAAAAGATGCTCTACTAAGACAGGATCAAATCTCATGTAACTTTACGATACTTATATCAATGTGAATAGAGTTTTAAATTCAATACACTGATAGAGAATGGAGCAGGTAATACAGTAGGCTCCCGGAGCTACATTAAATCCGGTGATTCCACGTAATCTCTTTTATAGCTTTTAACTGAAAGTAAAAATGTATAGTGGCACGTAGTATGGCAGAATTTTATATTATTGAAAATGGCAACAAGATGGTCCATCTGATATCTGATGAACAGTGCTAATCTGTATATATAAACATTTTTTTTTATTGTTAGGGAGGCAAACAAATTCGTCACCCATGAACATTTGCATCCCAACCAACATGAGAGGATTGGCTTGTGCGTTGCCGGACTTTTAAATACTCGTATTTATAGGCATGACGATGAACGAGTAGTTCATGATTCATTAATTATTTCTAAATTAACAAATGTTTTCATTACAGCTCTATGTTTATTTTAATGCTGTCTCTTGAATTAAATTCTGGATGCACTCTCGTCAACTCCATCTATTATTTACTCCGAAAACTTTGTGGCCTGAAACCACAACCCTAAAGATGAGTCGTAACTCCACTAGTTGTAGATCACTACAGTACTCTCTTATATTTGGTTATAAGTATAGCCATACTACATGAAGAAGATTTACGAACTGAGAGCGTAAGATATATTGGGTTTATGAAGGATTTTGTTACAAATAAGTTGGGTTGCAAACATCTGTTCCGGCGATGAAGCGCTTCGCCGCCTGCCGTAAAGCGCGTGAACTCACGCGGGCACGTGCTGCCTATCACGAAATAAAGGCTTCTGTATACTCTACTATCCCACTTTCACATGGAAACATTGAAAATAATGTGTATGTCACATATCCATGTAGTCAAGTGGTACAACCATAGAATAGATTGTAATCTACAATTTAGGTATGTTAATTTTTAAATGTAGCTTAATTATTCTATTGTCTTCATTAGTTGGGTAAAAACAAACCTTATAAGCCTTGAAAATTGCGTAACCCAAATGTTTTTACAAAGCCACATAACAGTTTTTGCGTCTCGTATCTGTTTCTAGACAGTGAATAAGAACCTTAAAATATTCGGGCGCAGATTTTTCAATGTGGCCCGAAATGAAGGTCATATCTTCCCCTACATTCGTTGGAGCGGAGCCGACGGTTGTGAGTCGTTAACACATCCGACGGAAGACGCTCCCCGAGTACTTCCTACCAAATGCCAAATGTAGTACTGTTCAAGATTAGACATTATAGTTGTTTTAATAAAAGTTAAATTTTTCGCACTTGCAATATTAGAACCATAGATATAGACCGTTTAACCGCTAGAAGGTCAAACATTCAAATTTTGTTAACGGATAGAACTACACGCACTTTTGTATTTATTTTAATTTATTATAAAACTTGAGGCACGGACAAGCATTTCATTTCAACCAAGAGCTTCTCACCTTCAAGCGCAAACATACGTGTTTTGGACCTTCGTTGCCGAATAATAATACGCAAAGTACGAGTCAGCGACCATTGGACTCATCGTATGCCAATTCATCGCACAAGTTTTGGACTACGAGAAGTGAGAAGACATCTAGTAAGGATCGAGGTTAAGGCGTCGGAGGAGCAGCAGCAGACAGCAATCGTCCATAAGCGCATTCCGGAGCGATCTGCCATCCTCCCTAACCCCATCTCCTTCGCTTCAATTGTGTCACACCGTGCCTTTAGTCACGTTACAGTTCTTGTGTTCAGCAATAAGAAGCAGCTTTGTGTCGCAGCTAGCACAGGCTGATCTTACAGACCAAGAATCAAACGTAAGTACCTTCATAATTTGCCAAAATGAGTATAAATGAGGCTAGTGTTAAAATTAATCGTGAAAGATCCCCTAATAGGCTAATCGCTAATAATGAAAATGATAATGAATTGCTTAGGGACCTAGTCAAGACGCGTGGCATATTAAAAAGCAGGCTTACTAAATTTTCTAAGGCCGTTAGTGATATTACCCTCGAGCAATTAACGAATCAAAAATGTGCCGATGTAAAATTACGCATGCAAGGTATTACAAGCTTATTTGCAGAGTTTAGCGATGTTCAAACAAAAATCGAAAAAATTGTACGAGATTCAGATTTAGATTCACAGCTGACGCAACGAGAATTGTTTGAAGATTGCTATTATCATGCACTAGCTCAAGCTGAATGTTTGCTCAAATCGGTAGAGGTCACTAGCGCGTCCAGTAAGGGCAGTAATAGGGCGTCACAGTCTATAAAACTTCCGACCATCTCCCTACCTGTATATGATGGAACGTATGAGCATTGGATCGAATACAGAGACATTTTTCTATCTCTAGTACACAATTCCGATGAAATTAGCGATATTCAGAAATTCCACTACCTAAAATCGTCACTAAAGGGAAGCGCGGAGTTAGTTATCGATTCCTTAGAATTCTCTGCTAGTAACTATGTGGTAGCATGGGAACTACTTCTCAACAGATACAACAATAGCAGTCTGTTGGTGCATAACCACGTTAAGGCCTTATTTACTATTCAAAAACTTTCTAAGGAATCACCACATGCACTCAGAAAACTAACAGACATTATTCTAAGAAATTTACGCGCATTAAAAATATTAGGTGAGCCTACTGAGTACTGGGATACTTTAATCATATTTATTATAACGTCTAAGTTAGATGAAACCACCGAACGTGAATGGGAACAATTTAAATGCACCACACGAAAATATATTAATGATAATTCTTCACTGAAGGTAGATGATTTACTTATGTTCCTCAGAGACAGGGCTGACATGTTGGAAACATTGCTAGTTTCACACAGGGTTAACAGTGACGTTAAAACTCAAAACGCGACTTCACAACAATCGTCATATTATCCGTCACATAAAAAATCACAACATAAAGTGCACTGCAATGTTTCCACCAATAAGTCACAGCAAGGTCGAATCACGTCTACTAAAAAATCGTGTTTAATGTGTAACGCCGATCATCCACTTTATTCATGTCAAACATTTTTGGACACTAACTTAGACGCTAAACTGCAATTTATAACCGCAAATAAATTATGTGAGAACTGTTTACGTCCAGGGCATTCAGTTAGTATGTGCAAATTTGGACCTTGCAGACTGTGTTTTAAAAAACACAACACGCTTATTCATAATAACGTGACTGATCGAGTAGCGGTCGTATCAATGCATCTAGCCGACAACGAAACCCCGGGTTCTAGTCAAATGACCCCCGCGACCGTCGCACCGCCCGCGCAGTCCATCCCCGCGCAAATTCATTCGTCTCGAGTAAACAGTACACACATAGATAATTTTAATTTAATTCACAAACAATCTACTATGCGACCCGTTTTATTGTCTACAGCTATAGTCGAGATAGCCGATAGGTACAATAAGTTTCACTTAGCACGCGCGCTTCTCGACTGTGGTAGTCAACATTGTTTTATTTCTAAACCACTATGCGATTTAATTAATATAAATTTAATACAGTCCACTTGCGAAATTCGAGGTGTCGGCAACACAGTAACAACGTCATCACAGATATGTGATATCGAGATCAAATCACGCATTGACAATTACTCCGCACGCATTAAATGTTTTGTGTTACCGCACATTACATCTACGCTACCTACTGCGATGTATAGTCAACGCGCGCAGTCTTTTATGATACCTGACTATATACAGCTGGCTGATCCACAATATTATGAATCTCAAAATATTGATATTTTAATAGGCGCAGACTTATTTTGGGACTTATTATGCGAAGGTAAAATGAGATTACCCAATGGACCCTTTTTACAAAATACAAGGTTAGGTTGGATTATTTCAGGGCCTATTGAGTTTAACACGCACAATATCAATACGTCTGTCCAATGTAACTTCACTCAATCCATTGACACTCAGTTACGACGGTTTTGGGAGTTAGAAGAGGTGCCTAAAACTAGTGACATACAGACTGACGAAGAACGCTCTTGTGAGGAAGCTTTCATTCGTACTACCACGCGCAATAGTGACGGAAGGTTTTGCGTCAGCTTGCCACTGAAACAGTCGCCATCTGTTTTGGGTGAATCTTTGTCACAAGCTGAACGTCGTTTTTTGGCACTAGAGAGGCGATTAGAACGTAATTCTAACTATAAAAAATTATATATTGAATTTATACACGAATACATCGAATTAGGTCATATGACGCGAGTAACTTCATATGGAACCCCACACTATTTCTTACCTCATCACGGCGTGTATCGTGAGCACAGCAGCACAACAAAACTTCGCGTGGTGTTCGATGCAAGTGCCGCCACAAGTAGTGGAGTGTCTTTAAATGACATTCAACAAGTCGGACCTCCTTTGCAGCGTGATTTAGTTGACATCCTGCTTCGTTTCAGACAACATAGATACACTGCTTGTGCAGACGTCGAAAAGATGTACAGGCAGTGTCTCTTAAACGAATTACAACGCGATCTCCAGTTGATTGTGTGGCGTGACAATCCATCTGAACCGTTAGGTATTTACCGACTGAACACGGTAACGTATGGGACAGCCTCCGCACCGTTTCTTAGTGTTAGGTGTCTAAAGCAGCTGGCACTCGAATGTAAGGACTCAGCCGTCCAACAAATAATTTTAAATGATTTTTATGTAGATGATATGATTACAGGTTCAGATGACAAGGAGGAGTTGCTTGTACTCTGTAAGAAGGTCACTGATGTCTTAAGTTCTGGTGGATTTCACTTAAGAAAATGGATATTTAATTTTAAATGTGATGAATTGTTGGTTCATCAAATTCCAAATAATAACGCATCACAGGAATTAACATTAGGAGAAAATGTTCAGTGCAAGACATTAGGTCTTGGATGGTACTATGCATCAGACGAGTTTTATTTTAATACTCAAGTTAAAGTTGATACGTACAAGATTAGTAAACGAACCATTTTATCGCACGTTTCTCAAATATTTGATCCATTGGGATTATTAAGTCCGACCATTATAATAGCCAAAGTTTTATTGCAAAAACTATGGTTATTACAACTAGGATGGGATGATGAGGTACCGCGAGACGTGTTGCGCGCATGGACCGTATTTGTAAAGGGCTTATCAATGCTTAATACCATCCGCATACCCCGTCATGTTACAGCTAACGAAGCGATATGTACAGAGCTACACATCTTTACCGATGCATCGCAGACTGCATACGGCGCTTGCATCTACGTTCGAACAGTAACTAATAACGGACTTGTATCGGTAAAATTGTTATGTTCAAAGGGTAAGGTTGCACCTTTAAAACCTGTCAGTATCCCGCGACTAGAATTATGCGGAGCTTTACTTGGGGCTCGACTTTATGATAAAGTAATTAAATCACTTCGTCGTCATTTTGATAACATCATGTTCTGGACTGACTCGACCATAGTACTAGGATGGTTACACATGTCGCCTAATTTACAAAAAACTTTTGTACAAAATAGAACGGCAGAAATACATGAGTTGGTGAAGGAACTTCCATGGCGTCATGTCAGTGGGAAGGAAAACCCAGCTGATCTGGTCTCGCGTGGTGTTCAGATGGAGGACCTTTCATCTTCTACTTTATGGTGGGAAGGCCCATTTTTTCTTCGTCACACTAACTTCAGTTGCAATAATGTACCGTTAAATTCATTTGACTCTCAGCAACTATTGCCTGAGCTGAAATCCAGTGTGACGCATTCCTACGCTACTGATCAAGACTGCGAACGTACATTATTTCCATTTGTTAGATTTTCTCAATATAGTCGCATGAGACGAACTGTCGCGTATATACAACGTTTTATTCATAATACGCGCAATAAAAATACTCAACGGTCAGGTACTCTCACTGTCGATGAATTGAGGGAATCTGATATAACTTTGGCTCGACTGTCTCAACTAGAATCGTTTCCAGATGAGTATAGGTTACTCACAAATAATAGTACTCTAGTTAATAAGCATAATTTGTCTAAATTAAATTTATTTATTGATAAAAATAAACTAATTCGTGTTGGTGGTCGGATTGTAAATTCTCCCGACTTTAATTTTGATAAAAAACATCCGATTTTAATTTCATCTAAACATATTTTCTCCCTACTACTATTCAGACACGAACACAAGCAGTTGTTGCACGCAGCTCCACAGGCGCTTCTTTATAACTTACGTGAAACGTGGTGGCCAATTGGCGGTAGAAACTTAGCAAGGAAGGTTGTTTATGATTGCATTATTTGTAAACGCTTGAGAGGTATGACCCCTACTCCCCTTATGGGAGATTTACCAAAGGAACGTTTAACTTCGGGCTTTCCTTTTATGCGTTCTGGGGTGGACTACGCCGGACCAATGCTCATACTTAATCGTAAGGGTAAAGGTGCTAGGACGACAAAATGCTATGTGTGCTTATTTATTTGTTTTGTAACGCGCGCTGTACATTTAGAACTCGTCAGTGACTTATCAACAGATGCATATTTATTAGCGTTAAAGAGATTTATATCTAGGCGTGGCAACCCATGTGAGATTTTTTCTGATAATGGTAGAAATTTTGTTGGATTGATGAATGACTTTAAACATTTTTTAGCTAATTGTTCGTCACAGATTATAGAATATGCCACGGCTCAGAATATTCAATTCACATTCATACCGCCTTATGCGCCTCATTTTGGCGGATTATGGGAAGCTGGAATTCGGTCCTGTAAGAATATTTTACGTCGTATAGTAGGAAACGCGCACTTAACCTACGAGGAGTTCAGTACAGTGTTGACACAAATTGAAGCGGTCCTGAACTCCCGTCCTTTAAGCCCTATGTCCTCAGATCCACAAGATTTGTCGCCTCTTAGTCCAGGCCATTTTCTGGTGGGACGTCCACTTACTGCGCCTGCTAGTGATGACTTCACTGAGACGCCTGTTCATCGACTGACACGTTATCAACGAGTTGAGCAGATTCGACAGCAATTTTGGTCCCGTTGGGCGAAGGAATACGTGTCAGAACTTCAAATAAGGACTAAAGGAAGGAAGAACACACTTGAACTGCAGCCTGATATGCTAGTAGTTATTAAGGACGACAACCTACCGCCGCTAAAATGGCATCTCGGTCGAATAGTGAAGATCTTCCCTGGCAAAGACGGCATCACTAGAGTAGCCGATATTCGCACATCGTCAGGTGTCGTGAGACGCGCTTACAGCAAGATATGTCCCTTACTTGATGACTAATTCTAGTTTTGAAGTTTTAAAATTGAAAGCTGAAGCTTTCAAGGCCGGGGGCATGTTCAAGATTAGACATTATAGTTGTTTTAATAAAAGTTAAATTTTTCGCACTTGCAATATTAGAACCATAGATATAGACCGTTTAACCGCTAGAAGGTCAAACATTCAAATTTTGTTAACGGATAGAACTACACGCACTTTTGTATTTATTTTAATTTATTATAAAACTTGAGGCACGGACAAGCATTTCATTTCAACCAAGAGCTTCTCACCTTCAAGCGCAAACAAGTACGCATCCGTACGTGAACAGTTGCACGCACCGCAAACCTTAATACTGATTGTGTTAAAGTCTAATTTCCTTTGTCTCATTTGCCCAATAATTCAGGCCAGAAGGCGATTTTCGTGCGCCACCGTCGCGTCTTCTCTTTATGCGCGACTTTCACGAGCTACTTTATTGGGCCCTCTCTAATGCGTTTCGAAGGACGCGAATACTGAAAAATTACTACCGAATGTAAAAGGTATAAAGGGAAATCTTACGATAGGGCTATACATCAATCAGTGATGTTTCACATGACATTCTGTCTAAAACAATTGGAACTGTGTAAGTGAAAAGTAAGTCAAATTGGCTGAGAATATTACTGCGCAGATAAAAGGATTTAGAAGGGAGATTTTGGTGTTATTTTATTGCACAAAACTCGTATATAATTTAGTATGATCATTTTTTACGCATATAGAATATGTGAAAAGTGTTAATTCTAATTTATGAAACATGAATGAAACAAGATTTTTGTTTGCGCAAATGTAACAACAACTGTTTCAAGCAATATACAATATCTCAACAAGTCATATACACAACATGTTTTGTGATAAACAGGAAACGAGCAATCGGGGGTAACAATATTAAAATCGCGGTATCAAGGGTCTAAGCTAATGAATCTATTTGCGTTGCCCCCGTATTAATTTTAACGTTATTGAAGCCGCTGTTTTTGTAAAAGTTTACTCTTAAAACTTATTTAAATTTCTGAGGTCACTGTTAACGTTGCCAAGTAATATTTTAGTAAGGTTTAAGTATGACGATTAATATGGACTGTGCTGCTAATGTGGTTAGGAGAAAAATGGGCATGTTGATAAGCTTCATTCTTGGTGGGCATTCTGTATACAGCGGTGCAGTCATAAGTTATCTCCGGACAAGTGATTAAGTAACATCGTCAATAACGTCTGTACGGACGGTACGTACTGTCTCAGATGGGCAGTAATCGAACTGACATTGCTGAACGATAAATTGACTCTTGTGACCACTCCACAGAGTCACAATTTGAAGGGCGTCCATTAATTATGATATCGTATAAGCAAGTTCAGCGAAATCAGAAGTTTATAGTGAATGGATCAACGAATCAAGATTTTATTCTCCTTTTATTTTACTGTGTAATAAATAAATGGGGTAACAGACATTATGGAATATTTATATTTAATTATTTAAAACCATATTTATTAATCTCACGCAAGGAGAAGTGAGTGCCGTGTGTACCCCGGCATAGAATGAGCCACCCCTTCCTTTCCCGTGGCTGTCGTAAGAGGCAACTAAGGGAGGACGAGGGATGGATAGCAACGTCCCATACAACATTTCTACAAGTCTAACTGCGGTTGTCAACCCGCCTGCGAAGCGTGAAACTATTGGCAAATTGGATTAATTAATTATGGGAGGCTTATGTCCCGCAGTGGACAGTAAATGACTGAAATAATAATAAGGGAAAGTGAGTGGATCTTACCAAAACATATCAAGGAGGCAAAATATCAATTCAAGTCATTAATGGAGGTTTTTTTTAGATGGGTGAAAATGGTATGGTAACCCCACCTGCGCTCACGGGATACGCTGGCGGGGCACCAGTGAAGGGTGATAGATGAGAATGAAAACAGGCCAGTTAGCCGATCATGATGAATTCATCAGGAATTAACCATGATAGTTTACAGGGGGAACCGTGAGGAAGTCGACCTGGTTGGGTATATTGCTAGCAATGGGATTCTTAGTCTCCATTACTAACAATCCCTTTCCCCCTAACATTAATGGAGGTTACTTTTATAAACACTTACATGGCATCTAGAAATAAGTTACATAAAGATATAAATGTCTTTCTTGCGTAGTTTCTTGGTGTGTACTGATCTGAAAATGGCTATCATCATTATAATAATACACGGACGCCCCCTGTTGGGCGCAAATCTGTTTCCCTTGGAGGGTGAATTTGTTTATTATCACTTTGCCAGGCCGTTACACATAATTTTGTTTTGGTTTTTCCTTTTCTTGGACTGCCGTGTTATGGTTTGCTCCCCAAGGATGAGATATGGCTTTGAAATTATTACGCCATGTGCCCCCAAATCTGTGAGACAACAATAATAGGAAAAAAACAATATTCTAAATACGGGAAATGCTTACTATATAGCAGATTTTGTTTGATATACTTGTTTGATATCTTCGATATATTTTTCATCGACATTTCAACAAGATCACAAACATTTTGGTATCAATATCAATCAATCCTGAATTAGAATTCTTCGCATAGTTCAAACAGGGGGGAAAGGGATTGTTAATAATGGGATCTGGCCAGGGTCGGATTGAGCCAGAAGGGCCCGGTTGGCTGACCACAAGCCCGGAGTTTGAGATTTTTTTTAATGGGTGATAATGGTATGGTAATCCCGTCTGCGCTATCGGTATACAATGGCGTGCCAGGGATTAATGACTAATGAGGATGAAAACAGGTCAGTTAGCTCATCCTGACGAATTCAACTAAAATTAGCCACGATGGTTTCCAGGGGGAACTACTTGGAGGTCGACCTAACAGGGTATTTGATCCCATTACTAACAATCCCTTTCCTCCCGGGGCATGAGATTAGATGATGGTTGTTGCACCAGTTGGTAGCGGCACCGCAAGCTCCGCAAACCAGGCCCGTGGGGGGCCCACACAGGTTGGGGGCCGGCTAGCAAATGCAACTTCGATTATATAGTCAATATAGCCAGGCCAATGCTGGGTCTGAAAGTCTAATTATTAGTAATATACCCTATCAGGTCGACTTCCACGCGGTTCCACTTGGAAACAATCATGGTTAGTTCTTATTTAATTCATCATAATGCCTGGGTAATCACCAGTGAGGGAGGATAGGTTGGTGGGGCATCGGCGCGAGACAGGTGATGAAGTAGGTCGATCTGATAAGGTATATTGCTAGCAATGTGGAAGATAGACTCCATTACTAACAATCCCTTTGCCTCCAATCGTAGTGTGTTAGGTATAGTTATAAAATATCTAATCTTAGCCTCAGTGATTGGTTACCTCGACGCGGAGAGATTTGTACTTGACATGTAGCTAACAGCTTGCGATTTGAGATCACAATTAATAGCAGAACAGCAAATCTGTAGCTTTGACATTTTATATTATTTAGATGAGCATCTTTTTAAGTTATTTACTAAATTACATACTTTGTACGAATACAAATTTATCTGATATCTCTGTCTCACTAATAAATTTTATTGCCAACAGTCTGCTTGTTTGATTATTCGGAACGTAATAAAACAAAAAACTTGACGGTAATAAAACGAAAGATATGATGGTTCTTTTTTTTGTTGTTGAAAATAGCACAATATCAATCGTTCGAATCCTGTGTCGAATTTTGTTTCGTAATAAAATATGGGGGAGAAAATCTTATCGTTTGCAAAAAGAATAATTATAATCAGTCCAGAATTGGCGACGTAATCACGTAATGACGGCCAGTACTGTTTAATTTTAAGTTAAGAATTAATTTATTAAATTTGTGTTATTATTTAAAAAAAAATTGTATAAATTTAAATTGTTATATGATATTAATATATTTCCTACATAAAAATATTTTCTTTTTATTTATCTAATATAGAAAAAAAAAAATGATTGAGTTTGCAGAGACTACAATATAGTTAATCTGTGTCAAAGTAAGTAGGTAGATGGTAAATTCAGACACAATGATATTTAATAA